TGGGGAAGAGCTGCCTCAAAGTAGAGTTGACCGTAATGATGAAAGCAAAGTAAAACTTACGGGACCTTCTGATGGGGCACAACTCAAAATAAAGAAAAACCGCTGTAAACATCAAGTAATAATCAGAACATGGAATAAATATAAGAAAATTGGAAGTTGTCAAATATGATATGGAATGTGTGAACATCGATATCCTAGGCATTAGTGAGCTGAAATGGACTGGTATTGCCAATTTTGAATCTGACAATCAAATGAGTTACTATGCAAGGAATGACAAATTGAGGAGGAATGGTATCACTTTTACCATCAAAAAAAAACAAAACAAAACATTTCCAGATCTGTCTTGAAGTACAACACTATCTGTGATAGGATATATCCATACATTTACAGGTAAGACCATTTAATACCACTGCAAATTTACACACCAGCTACTAAAACAAATGATGAAATTGAAGAATTCTACAAACTTCTTCAGTTGGAAATTTATCAAACATGCAATCAAAGTGTATTGATATTTACTGGTGATTGGAAACAAAGAGGAAGGATCTGTCATTAGAAAATATGGCCTTGGTGATAGAAATGATGCTAGAGATCGCATGATAGAATTCTGCAAGACCAATGACTTCCTCATTGCAAATACCTTTTTTAAACAACATAAATAATGACTATACACATGGACCTCACCAGATGGATACACAGAAATCAAATTGACTACATCTGTGGAAAGAGATTGTGGAAAAGCCAAACAAGGCCAAGGGACGACTGTGGAGCAGACTATCAATTGCTCATATGTAAGTTCACCTGAAGCTGAAGAAAAATAACAGCAAGTCCATGAGAGCCAAAATATTACCTTGACATATTCCACCTTAATTTAGAGATCACCTTAGAATCATCTTAATTTGATGTATTAGACACTAATGACCAAAGACCAGAAGAGTTGTGGGATAACATCAAGAAAATCATATAGGAAGAAAGCAAAAGATCATAAAGAAGACAAGAAAGAGGGGAAAGACCAAAATGGATGTCAGATGAGACTCTGAAACATGCTCTCTAGTGTAGAAATTCTTAAGCAAATGGAGGAAATGAGGGAGGGAAAAGAACTAAATGGAATATTTCAAAGGACAGCTCAAGAAGACAAAGTCAGATATTACAATGAAATATGCAGAGACCTGGAGTTAAAAACAAAACGGAAGAACACACGCAGTATGTCTCCAGCTGAGGGAAATGAATTAAAAATTCAAGACTCAACTTGAAATATTGAAGGATTCTATGGGCAAGATACTGAATGATGCATAAAGTATCAAAAGAAGGTGGAAAGAACACACAGTCACTATACCAAAAAGAAATGGTTGTTGTTCAGCCATTTTAAGATGGAGCAGACGATCAAGAAGAAGTAGTATATAATTGGAAGAAGTCCAAGGAGTCCTGAAGACACTGGCAAAGAACAAGACAATGGTAACTGATGGAGTACAAACTAATATCTTTCAATAAATGAATGCAGCATTGGAGGTGCTCATTCATCTATACCAAGAAATTTAGATGACAGGTACCTCGCCAACTGATTGGAAGAGATCCATATTTGTGCCCATTTCAAAGATAGGTGACCCAACAGGACGTGGAAATCATCGGACAGTGTCATTAATATCGCATGCAAGTAAAATTTTACTGAAGATAATTCAAAAACAGCTACAACAGTACAGACAGGGAACTACCAGAGGTTCAAGCTGGATTCAGATAAGGATGTGGAATGAGGGATATCATTGCTGACATCAGAAGGATCTTGGCTGAAAGCAGAGAATACCAGAAAGAAGTTTACATGTACTTTATTGAATACACAAAGGCTTTCAGTTATGTGTATCATGACAAGCTACGGATGGCATTGCAGAGAATGAGTACTCCAGAACACTTATTAGTGCTTATAAGGAACCTGTACATAGGCCAAGAATCAGTTGTTCGAACAGAACAAAGGAACACTGAATGGTTTAAAATTAGGAAAGGTGTGCATCAAGGTTGTATTCTTTCACCATAATTATTCAATCTGTATGCTGAGCAAATAATTTAAGAAGCTGGACTATATGAAGAAGATCATGGCATCAGGATTGGAGGAAAACTCATTATCAAGCTGTGATATGCAGATGATACAGCCTTGCTTGCTAAAAGCGAAGAGGTATTAAAATAATTACTGAAGAAGATCAAAGACCACAGCCTCAATATAAAGTAAGCAAAAATCCTCACCACTGGATCAGTAAATGAAATCAAGGTAAATGGAGAAAAGACTGGAGTTGTCAAAGACTTCATTTTTCTTGGATCAACACCTATAGAAGCAGCGGTCAAGAAATCAAATGGCATATCGCATTAGACAAATCTGCTGTACAAGAACTCTCTGAAATGTTCAAGAGAAAATATGTCAGGACTAAGGTGCGCGTGACCCAAACCATGGTATTTTCAGTAGCCTCATATGCATTTGAATGTTTTACAGTCAGTAAGGAAGACCATAGAAAGAATTGACGCATTTGAATTTTGGTGCTGAAGGGGAATATTAAAAATACCATGGAGTGCCAAAAGATCAACCAAATCTGTGTTGGAAACAGTACAGCCAGAATGCTACATGGAGGCCAGGATGGCTAGATTTCGTCTCTCATACTTCAGGCATATTATCAGGAGGGAACAATTCCTGGAGAAGGACATCATCCTTGTTAAAGGGTCATTGAAAAAGAAAAAGACCCCTAACAAAATGGATTGGCACAATCGTAGCAGTAATGGGCAGAAGCGTAGCAATGATTATGAGATTGGTGCAGGACCAGGCAGTGTTCCTGTCTATGGTGCATATGGTCACTCTGAGTTGGGACTGAGTCAATGTCACCTAACAACATTTTACATAACCCTTAATAGCATTGAAGTATATTTAATGGAATATACCTCAACAGTGTTTTCTTTTAAAGAGTTTTCTTGTTTCAAGTTGTAATTCTAATTTACTTTGTTGAAGTACAATTGAATAGAAAATGTATATTTGCCCCAACTTTCTTTTAATTGTAATGTTGTTTTGTTCTTGTTGTTAAGTTGGTTCTGACTTAGAAATTCTGTACAGGGTTCCCGGGATTTTAAATCAACAAAGAAACAGAAAGTACCATCTTTACCCGCAAAGCTCCTGGAATACTGGAACCCCCAACATCGTGGCTCAAAGTCCCTCGCTTATCCTATAGAGCCATTGCGTTCCCCCTAATTATAATAGTTCTGATAACATTTAAGCTCTTAATTTACAGGTTTTAATTTAAAGTAGAAAATTGGTTTGTTTTCCTTTTTTTTTTTTAAGTCCTGTATAATTAATAAGAAGCCCTTGTAGTGTGGCTGTTATGCATTGGGCTGCTAACTCAGTTTGAACTGATCAGCAGTTCAAATCTACCGGCCACTCTGTGGGGAAAAAAGATGAGGTGTTCTGCTTCCGTAAAGATTTATAGTTCTACACAAGTGGCTTGAGGATTAGCAAGTTGAGTATGCAACTCCATAGATGGACAGCGTTGTTGTTGGTGGTGATGTGCCATCGAATCAGTTACAACTCATAGCAACCTTGTATAGGGTTTCCAGGGCTGGAAATCTTTAAAGGTGCAGAAAGCCTCATCTTTCTACCATGGAGTCACTGGTGGATTTGAACTGCCAACCATGAAGTCAGCAACCCAAAGTGTAACACATTATACTACCAGGGTTCCTTGTAGATGCGCAATAGATAAGTTATTAAGTAATGAATGTTAATTTTTGTTGTTACTTGAATCATAAACACAATTGAGCCAAATTGAGTCACAGTTTAAAATATTACAACTCCTTAATATAATGAAAAAATAAGAGCCTATACTGCTGTTCTTTTTCTGAAAAGTGAACATAGGGACTAAAAGTACAAGTTGATTCTTCAGCATTGTTAGGATTGAATTAGTATTGTTTTATAACAAATTGCCAAATGCCATATTTTAAAGTCATGTTTCAAGAAAGTTAGGTCAGCAATAAGTTTTTAATATTTCATGTTTATCACAGATAGTTGCACTGAACATAAAGAATGTTTTCATTTTAAATTGGTTTTGTAAATCTTACAGAAATACTTTTGGAAAATTGGTTGGTATCAGACCTGGATTTTAAACACAGAACAGCTGTTGTTGAACAAATACCATCTCCATAACATGAAAATGCTTTCCGTTAACAGACTGGAATGTACAGTTAAACATCACCACTTCCATGTTTAACTCCTGTTTGACTCTTTCAGTGACTAATTTACTTTCTCAGTAGATTATTTCTTTTAACTGAAAGAGGAAATGTTGTCTTTAAATAATAATATTTTTTCCCAGCTACAGAATGTACTCAAGAACAGTGGGGCTTTCCAATGTGCCACTATTTAAAGGAAAAGAGATGGTGCTGTGGTCGTAATGCCAGAATGTCAGCATGTTTGGTATGTTTGTATTTTTTTTTCCTGAACTAAGAGATTTATCCAGATGCTGCAGAATTTGTTAGTTTGTGCTTATTTCATGTATGAAATACCAAATTTTGTATAGCAAAATCATCATCAGTGCTTTTGTGAATTACAAAAATTTAAAGAAAATGATTTGACCTTCAACTTCTACCCCTTCTACATGCAATGATGTAACAATATAGTTATACACAGTAAACATTTCCTTTATCATTACATAAAATATAACAGTTAGTTGCCTTCAAGGACTTCTGGTGTGGCGCTGTGAGTTAATGTGCTGTACTGTAAAGTCAGTTTGAACCACAAGGTTGGTGGTTCAAGCTCACCATTCATTCCTTGGAAACCCTATGTAGGTCACTCTATGTTGGAACTGACTCGACAACACTTAACAACAACAACAACTACATCTTCAGGGCCTTGGTGTGGCACTATAGGATAAGCACTGGACTACTAACTGCATGGTCCTCAGTTGAAACCCACCAGCTCTTCAAAACCCGATAAATGGTCACTCTGGGTCGGAACCGACTCGACCACACACATCAACAGCAGCAACTAAGTCTTAAATACAGAAGCAGTTTTCAAGACTTTACCCACAGCTAAATGTGTATATGTTTATAGCAGATCTGTACCCTTAAATTTTTCTGGAATGGGAAAAATATATTAAGCTACCTGGGATATGAAGTAACTATCCAATTAATAAAACTTCTGTTGTGCCTGATTTTGATATAGTGTTTTTAGATCTAGATCACAGCCTGTTAGTCCTACATTGGTTTACAAAGGGACCGGTGTAAGTGTAATAATGTAAATGGCCCCTGACATCAGAAACAAAATATAGTTGATTAAATAAGTCAATGTCCTACCACAAAACAAACTAATTAATTATTCTAGGGCCATTATTTCTTTCCCAGTTGCATAGCAATATAAAAATTAGTTTGTCCATTTTCTATATTAGGTATCCTAGAATTATTTTAAAAATCTATTTACGCTCAAATAATAATTCCTTATATAGGCCCACTTAGAGTACTTTTCTGGAAGGATTTATTATTTTTTCCTTTAATCTGTAAATGGGCCTGTGGGTTGTCATAAACAAGTCATTATTGGAATGACTTAACTCCTGGAGTACTGGCAGCTAGGCTTACACTCACAGCCAAAGATTGAGTAATCTTTTGTAGAATCTGACTAATTTAAGAGAAAAGACCTGAAAATATTCGAACCAAGGAGTTCAAAATGACACTGACCAGACCTACCTATCTCTCTAGAGTGACTACCACAATTAATAGTCCTCATTCATAAGCACATTGCTTCTAATTAGGTTGATGGCACCCTTATTTTAAATATCAGCGGACAGCCATCAGTAAATATCTGAGGAAAGTCTAACATGAAAAGTGGAGATGAAGTAAATAGAATTAGAGGAAATTGAGGATCTCCAAAAGGACCGAAAAAATAACATAAAATAATTATTGATACCCCTTTGAAAGATAAAAGGATATATTATGTTCATGAAACAGGAATGTTTTCCATAAAAATAAATATTTAAAGAACAGAAAAGAGGTTTTGAAAAATCAATTCCACCAATAAAGCATTTACCAACCGTGCTGTGAGGAAATTTTCCATGAATGCTCCTTTCCTTAGTTCTCTTCCAAACCCTGCCCACTTTACCAAACAATGTTTATGTTTGGAAGAAAATTCGTACCACCTACCTGACTCTCTTTTAATATGTAATCAAACTTTATCATTTGTGTTTCTAAAAGTACATCAGCTTCGCATATCAAAGGCAGTCATATTTTTTTTTTGTTTCCTCAAAAAATTTTGTGAACCCAATTTTCATATGATGGATTCATTTTTCTACTGAATCCACTGTACAGGGTATGAGGCATGAGAAATAAAACCAAGATTGAAAGAGCAAGTTTTAGTCCCTGCTTCTTACTATCTAGCTTGAAACAAGCTACTTTTACCTTGTTAGTGAACTTGTGCATCAACAAAATTCCACTTACCCAACGTACAGTATTCTGTATGAAAATGTTTTTAAAAAGCTTTAATATATGTTAAATTATGAGTATTTTCTGGGAATATTGAGAAATAATATATTTTTCAAATGTTTTGAATCTTAAGGTAAATGTAAAAACCAGCTACATATGAAATTATAAAAAAATATGTATTATGCTTTCTTCTACCTGGCACACAAATCATTGTTTTTGTAGTTGTTAAGTGCCATCAAGTTGGTTCCGACCCATAGTGACCCTGCATAGGGAGGGTTTCCAAGGAGTGGTTGGTGAGCTTGAACCACCGACCTTGTGGTTCAAACTGACTTTGCAGTCCAGCGCATTAACCCACAGTGCCACACCAGGACTCTGGCACTCAATCATGTAAGTTAAAATAAATGTACTTTTCTAAATTAAGCTTTCAATTAATGTGTTCATTTGTTTAATAAAAGGTGCATAATAATTGCTTTGGATTCAGTTGTTTCAGCTATATTAAAACCGAGCCAAGAATATGACATTTCTTTCCTCCTTTCAAATGCCTTCCAAAATTTAAGAAACATATTTTATTGTGTTTTATATGTGTTTATGTATAAGACATTCATCTATTATAAATCAACCACAGATTATACAAGTATACCAGTTAACATTCCTTAATGATATTAGCACTTTTAAGTGTATAAACTCACATGTTATCACTTAATCTTTTAAAATGTCATTTTCACAAGCCCTTATACAGTGTGCTTATAAATCTTGTAAGATAAGAAATATATCAGCAGTCTTTGTCTTGATTCTTCTTTTTAAAGGCTTTGGAGCGGGTTGCAGTTGGCCAAGGGGTAAGTAAGAATGTTTACCATAATTCAATTGATGAACTCAGTAGTTTTTATCTTAAGCATCCTTCATGCTTGACCTGCTAATGAACTTAAAGACTGATGGATTTTAATAAATATCACCTCTTCTTGTCATCTCTGCATATTCAAACTTAGAAGTTTACTTTAAAAGAGAAGTGAACTTTTAGAAAAAGTAAATTGAACTTCTAGGAAAGTTTCCACATTATGCTCTTGTTGTAGCCTCTGATTTCTTCATATTATACTAAACTCTTCTGTAAATATTTTTAAAGAATGGTGTTGCTGAATATCAGGCTCACTATGAGTCAGAATAGACTTGACAGATGTGGGTTTGGTTGACTGAGGGAACTCAAATAAGAAAGAAACTTTATCATAATACTTCCCCAAAGAATTTGTGTAACTTTTTTGCAATATTCCACGTACCTGCTTATGCTTAGAGTCAATCTTGTAAGTTAGCAGTTATCTCAGATGTGCATGAGAACATGATACACAGCAGAAGTTTAATAGTATGTTCTTTGGTTGTTAGGTTCCAGGGAATTGGTTCTGACTTACAGCAACACTATATACAACAGAACAAATACTGCACCATCCTCACAATCACTGCTGTGTTTGAGCACATTGTGGCAGCCACTGTGTCATTTTGTCTCATTGAGAGTCGTCTTCTTTTTCACTTACCCTTTACTTTATCAAGCATGATTAAGAGACTGCTTCTTCCTGATAGTATGAACAAAGTACACCATTGTCATTTCTAAGGAGCATTACAGCTGTACTTTTTCCAAGACATAGTTATTCTTTCTTTTACCAGTCTGTGAAATATTTAATATTCTTCTCCAACACTGTGATTCAAAGGCATCAGTTCTTCTTCAGTCTTCCTTATTAATTATCCAGCTTTTGGCATATATATGTTGTTGTTGTTGTTGTCAGGTGCCATCGAGTCAGAACTGACTCATAGCGACCCCATGCACAGCAGAATGAAACAATGTCCGATCCTGGGCCAACCTCACTACTGCTGCCACACTTGATGCCATCAATGATGCCACCTGGCTGGTCCATCTCGTTGGGGGTCTTCCTCTTTTTCTCTGACCCTCCAACTTACCCAGCATGACATCCTTCTCCAGCAACTGTTCCCTCCGGACAATATGTCCAAAGTATGAGAGACGAAGCTTAGCCATCATGGCCTCCAAGGAGCACTCTGGCTGCACTTCTTCCAAAACAGATCTATTGGTTCTTTTGGCAGTCCATGGCACTTTCAGTATTCTCCTCCAACACCACAACTCAAAGGCATCAATTCTTCTACGATCTTCCTTATTCACTGTCCAACTTTCGCATCCATAAGAGGTTATTGAAAATACCATGGCTTGGGTCAGGCGCACCTTAGTCCTCAAGCTGACATCTCTGCTCTTCAGTACTTTAAAAAGTTCCTGTGCGCACATTTGCCCAGTGCAATACGTCATCTGATCTCTTGACGGCTGCTTCCGCAAGTGTTGATAATTGATCCAAGAAGAATGAAGTCCTTGACAACTTCAGTCTTTTCTCCATTGATAAGAATGTTGTTTATTGGTACAGCATATATATGAGTTTGAGATTGAAAATACCATTTTTTGGTATTTTTTGAAAATGCTTTTGTCAGACACACCTAAGTCCTCGCAGTGACATCTTTGCATTTTAATATTTTAAAGGGATATTTTGCATCAGATTTGCCCAATGCAATATATCATTTGATTGTTTGACTGCCATTTCTGTGAGCATTGATTGTGGATCCAAGCAAAATTAAACCCTTCACAATTTCAATTTTTCTTCTATTTATCATGATGTTACTGCTTATTGGTCTAGTTGTGAGGATTTTTATTTTCTTTATCTTGAAGTGTAATTCATACTGAAGACTGTAAACACTTTCATCAAGCAACATTGTATCCATTTGCGTGTAGCATGTTGTTAATGAATCTCCGCCAATCCTGATGCTGTGTTCTTCTTCATATAATCCACTTTCTCAGATTATTAATCAGCATGCATATTAGTGTGGTGAAAGAATACAAACCTGACCCACACCTTTCCTGATTTTAAACCACACAGTTTTTCCCTTGTTCTATTCAAACTGCCTGTTCATCTATGTACTATTTCCACTTAAGTATAATTAAGTGTTTGGGAATTCCCATTCTTTGAAATCTTATCTATAATTTGACATGCTCCATACAGTTGAATGCCTTTGCTTAGTGAATAAAACACAGGTAAACATCTTTCTAGTATTCTCTGCTTTCAGCCAAGATTCATATAACATCAGCAATAATTTCCACATCTTCTTCTGAATCCAGCTTCTGAATTTCTGACCATTCCTTGTCAGTGTACTTTTGCAACCTGCTTTTGAATTATCTTTAGCAATATTTTACTTGTATGCGATATTAGTGATATTGTTCAATAATTTCCACGTTTTGTTGGCTCGCCTTTCTTTGGAATGGACACAAATGTAGGTCATTTCCAGTCAGTTGGCCTGGTAGCTGTGTTCCAAATTTTTTGCATAGATAGGTAAATACCTCCAGGTCTGTATCCATTTGTTGAAACCTTTCATTTGGTATTCTGGCAATTCCTGGAGCGTGTTTTTTTCAAATATTTTCAGTGCAGTTTAGACTTTTCCCTTCAGTACCATTAGTTCTTAAATGTATCCTATTTCCTGAAGCGGTGAACAATGTATGTTCTAGCACCCTTAAATAATTACACAACCTTGACTTCCAGTGTAGTGCTTTTTCCACTATACCTAAGTAATGTATGTCTAATGTACTCGAGTAAGTCAAAAAGTATTTCTAGAAAATCATAGAAACCATTTTTAAACAAAAATGTCAAAATGTGAAGACAGTCTATCTTAACATACCCTCTGTCTAGGTCTGGAGTCCTGGTGTGGTACTGTGGGTTAATGGTCTGGACTGCAAAACTGGTTTGAACTACAAAGTCAGCAGTTCAAGCTCACCACCAGTTCCTCCTCAGAAACCCTATACAGGATCACTATGGGTCAGAACCAATTCGATGACAGTTCTAAAGACTGCATTTCTATCTCTCTAGCCTTTCCCTGATGAATTCTGTAGTCTGATTTATACCACATCAGAATGATAGTTTTGCCATCCTTGAGGAACTCAAATCATGTTTCTTTTCAGTGTACTTTTAGTTTGGGGGACAGAAAGGTGTCTGAAAGAGCAGGATCAGGGCTGTGAGGTTAATGGGATAAGGTTTCTCAACAAAATTCTCATAGGACAAGCCTTGCTACTCTCAAAGAAAGAGCAGGAGCATGATCATGATAGAATAAAAAATCTTCAGTTCAACTCTTCTGGCCTTTTCTCACCAGTGCAGGTTTCAGTTTCCCTCAAACCTCTTCATAAAAAGCTGTGGTCTTCTTGTGTCCATCAGGAACTCGATCAAGATTATCCTTTTGATATACCAAAAAACAGTTGTAATAATGTTTTGATTTGATCGCTCTTCTTGTGTTTAATTATACCAGAATATCCCCTCAGAAGCTGCAGTTGGAATTGGACCTTTTTTTGGAGGCACTCTAATGGGATTAAAACAAGTGTATTGCTGAGAATAGTTATCTGTAGCCATCCACTGATTATAGGGGCATGTTTAAACACGTCTTGTTTGAAATAAACCTGCACAGATATGAACTGGGACCCTAGTAGCAATACTTTTTTACTTACCCTGGTATGATTTAAAAGTATACAAACACTTTCTTCTTCCTCCCATTTATAAACTATATTAAAGTTGATTTATTACTTGTGAAGTAAAGAAAGTAAATTTTCAGCCGCATCCACTTCATTCCTGGAATAGTGAGACACAAGCTGCTCGGGAGCTATTCACTGCCTTCTTTTCCACTTATTCCATCTGTATTTACCAGGATGGATAGTCCTTGTTATTCCAGGAATGTGCAGTCCAAGTACTTTACTCTCTCCTCTTTCTCTTAGGAAACAGCTGTAAAGCTCATAGATACTTAGAGTAACTTGGGAATGATGATTATTCTGTGCTGTTTGTATTTCTCTATGCATTCCATTGCTCTTATTTCTTACTTAAAATACATTTCTTGGTCTTTGTATTTGTGTATGTGTGTGTGTGCATGCACGTCCGATCATTCTGTAGTAATTTTTAAATAAAAATATACTTGTGCTTATAAATTATTTTGATACTATTTTATATAATTTTTCTCAAAAGAATGAGAAAAAGAGTTTTCACTAAATTTATAAAGTGACTTCCATATAATATTAACATTTCCATCTATTATAGCTAATCAAGCAAAGCATAAAGAACTGAAGAAATGTGTAAGCTATTTTAAATACTAGTAAAAATATATTACTATATATTGTGGTTATGTACCATCAAGTCATTTCTGAATTATAATGACCTTGTATAGGATTTCCAAGAAGCAGCTGATGGGTTTGAATTGTCGAACTTATGGTTCACAGTCTACTGCTGATCTTACAGGAGTCCCTATATGTATGTAGATTTGCCAAATGCCTTGAATTTCAGTGGCACACTATGAGAGTAGTTGATAATTTTTAAAAAGGATTTTAGTATTCTTGTGAGAGACATAAAGGAATTTCGAGGCAGTAGGGGACAGATAATAAAGCAGAGATTTGGGTAATATAGAAAAGATTTAACTAAAAATGAGAAGATGTCAAATGGAAACTCTATCCAGAAATGGAAAACTCCAGATGAAATACTTTAGAGCAGTATTCAAGAAAAGAAAGTTGAGAAATCAGAGGTTTTTCTCTCAAAGGAGTTGTATGTGGGAAGATATTTTATGTAAGAATTATGCCTTTTGAAGATGATAAATTTTAGTATGGTAATTGAAGTATGGATGGTTTCAATGAGTTATTGTAGAAGCTGAATAGGGGACTGTGTTCCTAACATCTTTTTCACTGGAATTATCATTCCTCTTGCCCTAGTTTTTGAGAGAGGATATGATTTGTGTTCTTTCAAGATGCTCTCTGTCAGATAGTCTACCCCTG